ACCACACAGTTTCAACGGAATTTAACCAAAAAAACTTAAAAAGAACACTTCTTCCCCCCCCCCCCCCTTTTTTTTTTTTCCTAAATCACCTCTTTTTTTTTTTCCTTCCGCTGCTCCTCCTGCTCTCGCCCGTCCCCGGACGGGAAGCGCCAGCCGCTCCCAGCAGCTCTCGCCCTTACACGCACAATTTAAAATGACGACAGCTGTACTGAACTTTCAAATTAAACCAGATTACTTGTTCTGAGAACACTGGGGAGCGGCTCCACGGTTCTATTTGACAACTGAAGAGATTGGGTTTGCTTTAAAAATCAGCCTTATGCGTACGCATGTAACAAACCCAGAAATCTGTAAAGGGGGGGGGGGAAATCCCCTCTGGAAGGGCAGTTCCTTGATGCGGTCAGGAAACCGGCCTTCCGGGAAGCAAAGAGGAGGAGCTGTTGCAGTAACTGCTCCGGTTCTCAAAGGGTCGGGGCTAAAAGCAGCTTCTGCCTGTCGGGCTTACGAGGCGACGCACATCCTGTCATCCGCAGCCGTCATCCGCTTCCCCCGACAACTTCATCGCGCTCCTTCCCGCTCCCAAAGCGCCCTCCACCGCCTCGCCCCGCACAAGAGGACCAAACCCCCTGGATTCCTCTCAGCTAGGTGGTCCCTAATTTTGACAGTTGCATCCAGACATGTTGGTTTTAAATTAAGGCCATTTCAAACGTCTACTTACAAGTCTAATAAACAAGATCTCTTATATACACACGTAGTTTAAAAAAAATCAGAAGGTAGCATTTAGCAACAGCTCCCTGTAAAAGTCTCCAGTGAGGAATCTCGTCTCCTGCTTCGGATGCTTCATTGGAAGTGACTCCGGTTTTAAAAAAATAGATCACAAACCAAGAATTTACATGCGTGCGAGTCGCTGAACGGGAGCGCGACACCGACCGAAACCCCGGCGAGGAACTGCACCAACTCGCGCTGCCCCGGCGGCCGCTTCAAAGCAAAGCACGCGGAGGCGCCTCTGCCCAGACGGCTCCTGCTCTGTTAGGGCATCCTCCTGTCTTTTTCCCTCCTCAAATTGAAAAAGTATTAGCAATCTGAAATAAGCAGACACTGGGAGTTAACGTGTGCTAACTGGGCTTAAATCCTGACAATAAAAAATACACATTTTCAGCAAAGATGCGGGATAACCGTTCAGTTGGAAGGAACAACAACAAAAAAAGACACAGGGAAGCGAGAGAGCTAGAGAAAAAAAAGAATCTTTTTAGTGCAAATGGTCAATGATGGCACAAGCACGAGCAAACACACACCCCGGTTTGGGAGATCCCAACAACTCTGCTCAGCAGTGTTTGCATCAACCTCAGGACGGCGTCCTGCCGATTTCTGGAAGCACACAGAAACCCAACGTAACTCAGAGCATCCAGCTCCAACGCCGGCCTTCCGCACCGCTTGCTGACAACAGCAAGGGGAAGAAAACCCATGCCAACAACAACAACAACCTTCTCGAGGGCAGTGGGGCAGGGAGAAGCGCTGAGGGGGGTTTTTTTTGCTTGCAAGTCAGGACACTGAGAAAGAACGGCCGCGGTTTTAGACAAAAAGCAAACGCGGCTGATGCAGACAGAGTCGGAAAGGAGCAGATGTGGAGCTACCAGTGCCAGAGGGGGGGCAACAAAACACAACCCGTCATGAGCTGGAAACTGGAACGGCTCTTTTATTCAGGCTAGCTTTAACAAAAATAGATGTGGATGTTCAGCCCCTGCTGCGTGGAGATGCTTCCCTCCAGCAGGTATTCGTTCCTCGCGCGCTCCTGGTAGGCGCGACCTCATTTTGCATTTGTTAGTAAGACTCGAGATACGTCAAAGCGTCACTGCTGCTGCGGAGAGGGTCACGTACTTACGACTCGGGCCCTGTGCAGATGGCCGCGTAACGAAGACAACGCTTCAGCAGTGCCCCCGGCAGCCACTATAAGCCTGTGGGGTGCTCGGTAAATCTTTAAACGCACTTTTCAAATTTGCGAAGAGTCCCAAGCGCCGAGGCTCGGGAATCCTCACCAGTTCAGCCGTGACATTTGAGTGAAACCACCAATTCAGAGTCAACGGGGGGGGGCGGGGGTGGTTTTGGACCTGCCATTGATCAAGCGTCATTCGCCAGTCCGTTACACCGCGGCACAGAATATTAACGAGGACGAACAGAAATGGTCTATTCTAGGTTTAACAGAATCTCAACCTGTTTGAGGATACAGTACTATTCACTGCAGAGCAAGCTGTTTTTTCCCCAGGGTGAAAGAAGGAATATCTAAGTTCCTGCCACCCTATTTTGACTATATAAAAGGAAAAAAATCTAGACTTGCCGTAGGCTTCCTTACTTCTGCTCAACATCAGTTTAAAATTCCAGTTAGTTAAAAATACCTATATATATAATATATATATAATATATTTCTGGAATAAAAACACAAAAAAAGATGTACTGTACAATTATTATGTAGAGTGCTTCAGTTGGCTGTATGTAGTTTAGCTACTTTCCTAATATCCAAATACTTAAATAAAAAAAAAAACAAAAACAAAAGATCATAAATAATGGTAACAGAATAAGTAATGAACAAGAATAAAAAATAAAAAATAGTCATCATGATTTGAGCCAGGCATTTCTATAGAAATGCCCTTCCTGTTGCCCAGGAATCTCTCACAAAGTAAAATTCGAAATATGCTCTGTTAGTCTCCTATATTCTTTTAGCTGCTTTAAAATGTTCTGATCCTTCCTCCGTGCTAATCAAGTAATGAATTATAGTACTTTTTTGTGTGCTCAGAAATGCTATATATATGTATACATATATTTATAAATATATATATTACATATATATTTAAAAAAAAAAAAAAAAGCTTTGAAAATAGTGTTTACAGTCGCCTTTTTTGACTAGCCAGCTACAAAAGGCCATCGGGCTGCCGGGCTGCTTTTCCGCTTCGCCAAGCACGCGAGTTTGCTCAGGGCATGAGAGGAGGCAGTGGGCGCAGGACGACAGTCGAGGAAACAAACCTGGAAACAAACCTGGCATATCGATACAGGAAGCAGCGCTTTACTCTACGGAGCAGCTGTCACAAAGCAGAGTGAAAACGGCCGAAGCCGCCCCCAGCCCCTCGCAGAGGGTGGCAACGTGGAGATTTGCTTTCGAATCAGGGCCGGGGGGGAGAGGGGGGAGCGGAGTGGGCGCTTCCCCGTCCCAAACAGCAGCCAACGATTTGGTACGTTAGACAGAATCTTTACCCTCGGCTCCGAACCTTCCTCGCCTGCCCCAAACCACCCCCTTTCCAGTGCAAAGGCTGAACCGACAACGCTGGAGCTTTGGTGGGAGGAAGGGGGGGGCTCTGAGAGGAAAAGGCTGATGGAAACTCCTTACTCATTAATGGCAACGAGTGGATAAGGGGTGAAATACGGCGCGACAGGGAGTAGGGGTCTGCAGCGCTGCAAGCTTAGAACGACAAGCTTTACTCATTGTACACGTTGTACAGGACAGAGCTGCGGCTCTCAGCAGCTCCCTGTTCTGACACGACTGACCCGTCGGACTCTCTAGTTCGGCTGGGCTCCAGGAACAAGCGTCATTCCCACGCTCCTGGCGTCCACGCTTCACAGCCGGTCCATCCTGAACGTGTCCTCTGTGGCGGGGTCAGTGAGGACCATGTCTGGGTCGTTCAGCATGTGCAGTCCATCCAAGGTTAAAGGGTCAATTTTGAGTTCATCCAGAGGGAACTGGGAATCCGTATCAAAGCTGACGTCTCCCACTCCTGCCAAAGAGCTGGTCAGTTCTTTTGATAAGCTGGGAGGAGATTCTCCTGTCACTGCGGGGAAGAGGAAGGGAAAGGTGTCGGTAGGACTTCGCAAATAGATATCCTCCAGGCAGAACAGTCACAAAACAGCTTGCAAAAAATTCTGGAATAATTTGCTGAGCTAAGGCTGAAGTTCAGACGAGAACCGTCAATTCTCGTCTCCAGCTGGATGGATTACAGATTTGTTAGAGCATCTCAAAACCATCGTAACAGCCTAACACAACTCAAAACTCACACACAAGTATCTGGGGGCCACAACGTGGCGTCACTTCAGTCTCCTCGCTCCCCCTTAGCTTTACGAGCAATAACCTTAATTTACACGATCCCAAACCAGCAAGACTGGTTCGCTGATTGCCTGAGATACAGACTGAGCTACAGTTTTCTCAGTGGCCTGTGCAGAAATTGTTTCCAAACGTCCAACCGCGACCAGATCTGCCACCACATGTGACACGAAAAAAATCATTTGCTGGCAAGCTCGAACAGAGCAGCAGAGGAAGGGGTTTGGCTTTCACCGCTTCTCCCTAACGGAGGATCCAGTAAATTCAGAGGCAGGGAAAGTCTGTAGGACAGTAAGTGCTGCCACCGCAGCTCCACCTGTTTGCTGGGACTGAAGGAGAGGGTCAGGCTCCCTGGCACACGGGGGACACGCCAGACCAGCAACACAAACATTCACACGAGGTGAAACAAAACCCTCAAAGGCAACAGTGCCCTTTTCCTTTCTTGGCTCTAACGTTGTGCGACGAAGAGACACCCCGACACGGGATGGTTTTACTTGTCGGTTAAGGCTGTGATCTGCTTACCTGTAAGAATGATGTTGGGGATGTTTCCATGGCTGGAGTAATTGAGCTGCTGCGAGTCCTGCAAGCTGCCATGACTGCCGGTAAGTCCCATCATGGCCGCCTGGGAGTAGTTAAGGGTGGAACAAGGGCTGTACAGGCTGTTGGAACTAATGGCGTTTTCTATCATGTTAAACTGTTCAAGCTGAAGACCAAGGCACAAAGGAATTATTACTTCTAACCATCAGGAAATACAGCAAAACAACTTACAAAGCTCAAGTAAAGGGAAGTAATGTTGAAAGAGACAGGCAAACAAATTCATCTTTAGGTTTCGTTGATCAAAATATCATCTATTTTCACTTAACTTTCCAGAATAGTTTACTGCCAAATTCAGAGTGCAGGGGAATGAGGAGAGGGTGGATGCAAAAACAAAATCATTGCTTTTGGTATTGTAAGAACAAAAGAAAAGGTAGCTTTAAAACAAAGTAAAAAACCCCATAATTCATGCTACTAACTCAGGTATCTGCCCATCAAGCAGCACTGCCTCTCGGAAGCTCTCTCATTTTTTTCCTGCTACCAGAGCACATTTCACAGTTGAAGGCATCAACGCACTGGCTGGCCAAACTAGCGGAGGCATGGGTCTGCTTGCTAGGTTTTGGTGCCACGCACAAGCCTTTTGCCAAATTCAGGAGTAAATATTGCTACCACCTACAAGTGAATCCTTCCCAAACACAATTACAGCCAGAGATGGGGGGTGTGTGTTAGAATCTATTTTCATTATTTTTTATCCAATACACTTGGCAGAACACCTTTGAAAACATCTGCTACCATGGTTAGGAGGGAGGAAGGGGAAGGAAGAGTGGGGAAAAAGAAAAACAAAACAAAAACAAACAAACAAACAAACAAAAAAAACCCAGAAGAAAATAAATCCCTGAGTCTTGCAAACTCAAAATAACAGAAGTAAAACTATATGGACAAAATGTGATCTCCCATAAAATAATCAGAAGTTGATCTATATTTATTTTAAGCTGAAAGTGGCCGAAATATAGCTGAAAATCCGAGATGAATTTGCTCACCTGATGGGATAGGGCATTAGCCTGCCTAGCTGTCATCTGCTGATCATAATAGGAGTCACCAAATACACTCCCCAGAATGGAAGAATGCTGAAAACAAAACAGAGTCTTTATGGTGCAAAAATCTCAAACAGACGTACCCACGGCGTGCGAGCGACTCGAGCCTTCCAACCGATTCTTCTCCAAGTTAGTTAGCGGTGCCCTTTATAATTACCAACCACTAACCAGCAGCAAATTCATAAAGCCTTTGGTATTTCCCTCCAAGACGCAAACCCTTCCACGTTACGCTGCCTTTCGGTAAGCACAAAAATACAGTCAACGAAACCAAACAAACTTCCTCACAGAGGACATACAACATATAAAACTTCTGGTTTATGAAAACAGACGAGTGCGCGAGGTCACACGAGGAATAATTAAAAAAAAAAAAAAAAATCACTCTGCAACTTCAGCTTTTTTGTAAACTTTTTTTTGGGGGTGAAAGACAAACCCCACGCAGAAATAAACTGCATGTTAAAACAAAATGCAATGCAAAGCCTTGCAGGTAGTGCCTGGGCTCACCGCCCCCGCAACCGCGTGTTCACGGAACAGCCAGCTTCACTGAGACAACAACATGCCAAAATTAAACTGACACTGGAAAGTCATTGCACTGTAGCTGCAGATCAGAAAAGTTAACGAGAAAGCCTGGTAAAGCATGTTGTATCAGCAGTTCGAAGGCAGGAATCTCAGGAGGAATTCCCCAGCCCGGCTAGCTCAGCTGTCCTCTCGAGCACGATGAGCACTGATCAGTTATTCTCCAGCATTTATCAATTATTCTATAGGTGACCGAGAATTTGAGGTCAATGTTTCAATACTATTCAGTACCGTCCCACAGAATTGCCAGATATAAAAGACAGCACAGATATCACTTCCTATTTAAAACTGTCACAAATTCTGACGCTCCAGCTGAACAAAACCCCATCTACTGATGGAGAGCAGCTCAAAAGATGGTGTCTATAAAAGACAATTGGCATGGAGTTTGTATCGATCTTGGGGAAAAAAAAAAAAATTTCAATCCCTTGCATAGCATTTTCCAGCTGTTTTATCTACACATTAAGAGAGGAAGGCTACAGGTTTTCTCCATAGAAACCTAACCAGCATATGAAATTAAGCTAAAGCCTAGGAAATATCAGAGCAGAGTTACGACAGCCACCACAGTTAAAAGCACTGAACACAGCCAAAGGTACTCAAAAAACCACAGGATGATGTCCACAACGGTGAACGTAAAAATTTCAGCAAACATCACATTGTAAACATTCTCCCTCCTACATCAGTAGCGTGCCTCAGCGCGGCTTATTTGCAGGGTGCATGCAAGGAAAAGAATGGAAGTCTCATATAAAAAAAAAAAACCAAACCCTAAATTGCCCACAACGTCCATGAGAGGGGACTATCAGGAAAGAAGCAACGACCTATTCTTTTGAAAGCAAACAAAAACCTTCCCACCTTCAGCCAGAATCCTCGGCTATCACATACAGATGTTTTTGGATAAATGTGGCATCAAGGGAGGAATTCACAGCCCGGGGACGAGACTCCGCTGGGGGAAGGCGGCTGCGAGTTTCAGCACACGCTGCGCGTGCGCCCGAACTCCTTGCTGAGCAGATCCCGTTTGATCCAAGAACTGCTCTGAGCATCCCCGGGAAGCGCTTTCCACCAGCTGCACGCGAGGGCGTGGGTATGGTTTGAATGCACTTGGAGAAGAGAGAGATTTGCTGCAGAACAGCGCTGCTGGGTAACGCCAGCACACTGGAAGCGCAGCCTGACGGAGCCCCGTGGCGCTGCAGTTAAAGCACGGCGCTGGCAGTCGGGAGGGGCAGCAGGCAGCTGCCTCCAAATCTTTGTCAGAGGAGCTCGTTACGGTAACTTCTCAGTAATAAATGGTTTAACTAAATGAAGCCAGCTCATCCTCAAGACTGATTAAATGCAGCCTGAGCCAAGAATCAGATTTTCATTCACTCTCCTGGACATTTACGATCTGTCACAGCAACGACCACAGAACAGTAATGACATCTTTGCAGCTTAACACCCTGCTCAATACCCTCCTTAGAAGCAGTAGGGCCAGCTGGGACAGGACAAGGGGCCATGGCTTTAAACTGAAGCGGGGGAGGTTTAGACTGGATCTAAGGAAGAAATTCTTTCCAGTGAGGGTGGTGAAACCCTGGCAGGGGTTGCCCAGAGAGGGGGTGGAGGCCCCATCCCTGGGACCATTCCAGGCCAGGTTGGCCGGGGCTGTGAGCAACCTGATGTGGTTCAAGGTGTCCCTGCTCCTGCAGGGGGGTTGGGCTGGGTGACCTCTGGGGGTCCCTTCCCACCCAAAACATTCTGTGATTCTATAAAATGGAAACTGGTCGTAACTGGAACCGGTCTTCCAATTTATAAAGACAGGGCTACGAGGAAGTTACCAAACGTCACGAGGAAGAGCCACGTTACAAGAGAAAAAGCAAAGCACTACTTAAATAAAACACCCCACGCTTTTCTTCAAACCACTGATGTTGTACTTGCTGCCCCATCACACTTTGATCAACGACTCCAACTCCACATTCTTCAACCTGCTACACGTGTTACTTTTTTCTTAAAAAAATTTAAAAATAAAAAATTTAAAAAAACAAATGGAGTCAGAACCTAGAACTAACTCAAGCAAGCAGATCAGGACCGGCCAAGCTTAACTCTTATCGTTCCCATCTTGAGTGGCAGGCATGGCTTCAGAGCTGCGTGATGGTTTATAACAGTTTCTAGTAAAAAGTTTGCGCTTCAGGATGCCACATATTTCATGTGAATCAAAGCCAGTTTGGACCAGCACTAGAAATACAATTGATATTTGAGAGCTCCAAAGAGAATCAAGGTATTTTTTCCTTTAACCTCTGACATTTCATTTTTACAGGAGCTTTTTGGAAGTAGGACAAAACCCACAATCTTGGCATTCCCCTAAGCACTGCTCCCATCCTAAAAAGTTTGGGCAACGTGAAAAATAAAAAAACAGAAGGCCAAAATCTATCTGTGCAAGTCTCCGTTAGTAACTCCTAACCTAACAAAACACACAAGCCTGTTGTTTATTCCTCGCTCTGAAGCATACCCGTTATTACATCTGTAAGCACTGAAACTCCCAAAGGAAATCAACTGGAAATGTCATTACTTCAACACTTCAGAGTCCTAGGATAATTTATCGACAGCCCTGTGAAAAACATCTTGCTAACACCATCTCCTCCAGAAACACTCGATGAGGTCTGTTTTGTCAACAGTACATCTTCTTGGGTTAATGATGTGGTGACTGCAAGAAAAAAAAAACCCAAACCACAAAACCCCTGGCTTAAATTATTAATCTAAAAATACATACCATATTATCCAGTATACAGCCATTCTACTAAAAAAAAGCAGATTTCTATCTAATGGGAACAGTGTGCCAGGTGTTAGAGGAGAAAAGCGAAGTAGTAATAAACAAGCCATTGTCAATGAAAAGCCATGCAAACACAAAGCTGAGAACTACAAGCAGAGCTTTTCAATCCGTGTTTGAACAGGAAGACCTTCATATAACAAACACACATCTAAAACACAAGAGCAAATAGATTTGGAGATGCGGAAAGATGAAAAATAACTTCTGGTGAATGAACCGTATGTGATAAAAATCAAACCACAGATTTCTATTTTTAAAGCACGTCACTCATCGTACTGATACGCTGCAGAACGATTTAACCTAAAATTAATCGGAGAAAGAGGAGCAAGTGGAGGACGCCTACCCGGTCACACCTACTTTATTCCACTCTTGTCAGCCAGTGCCAGACTGTTCCACGATGGGCATATTCTGCTGTTGGAACCAATCTGCCTTTACTCTTGGCAGACTGCGCTACAGTCTAATGGATCCTGCTATTTGGGAGTTGCCCCCATAATCACAACCAAGACAAATTTTTTCTTCTGAACTGTTTTTTCTTCCCCCATTGCTTCTCTCCATTGCAACCACCACCACAGATAGCTCGCTTGCCACCACTAGCTTTTGGTTCATCGATGGAGGCAGGAAAGCCGCCTTATTTTTAATTTAGCAAAAACAAAGAACTGTGTGGGTATTTTTAAGAGGCCAATACTAAATTAAGTGATATTAATAAACCCTCTTCCTTTCACACGTGAGTTATGGTGTCCCACTTGAAAACAGCAAAACCTAAGCAAGAGTGTACAGGAATAAACAGGCCCAGCAGGAAAAATTAGAGTCAAGTGTGTGCTCCACCGGGGAGTGCTTGCTGCACTCCAGTACTTGGGACTGACCGGTGGCAACAAGCCTGCAGACAAATCCAGGAAAGAGTTACTGAGAAGTCAAGGGGGAAAGAAAATCCAATGCAAAAATCAAAATCAGATGCACTGCCCAAATGAGAACTGGACCTGAGAATTTGCAGCAAGACTGGCAACAGCTTTGCTCTACATGACAGCCTAGAGGAGTAAGTTTGCTTGTTTTCTCTGAGCCACACACAGAACACAGCAGAACTGGCAGAAGCAGGCAGAAGAGAGAGAAGTTAAGAAGCAATTAAGCAAGGGTTAAGAAAATCCAGACAGTCCTGACACTCGGATCTATGACTGAGCTTACCAGCGACCTGTCTCTGGCTAATGGCAAGGAGAGACGGAGCTTCTGCTTTGGAACCATGAAGGGGCAGCACTTATTTAGATAGGATCCTCCTTACAGCCTTAAACGTTAAATGATGAAACAGAAAATGTATTTTCAGACTCTGTTGTGACGTTCCAGAAGAATTTCCTGCAGAATTTCCCGCACCTTGTTTCTACAGGTGGGATTTAGGAAAAGGGCAGTCATACGGAGCTACTTTAGCAGCATCAGGTTATTTCCAAACTGAAAGTACACTCACTCCCTTCCATTAGGGGCAGCCCCAAAGACTGCCTTCCTTTTAACTGCCTTGCTGCTGGCCGATAGAAATCCCCCGTCGTAGGATTACACACACACCCCAAGCTGTGACTTGCATTTAGGACATGTGGATGTGCGAGTATATACGTACACAGGAAGAAAAACCAGCTAGCATGCCAGAAAGCGTGTTTCTAACCCACTACTTGCAAGCCGCAAGATACAACTGCTCATTTTAAGAGCATTTTCTCCAGTGTTTTCTTTCAAAGTGGATGTTCCCCATGTAAAAAAAGGTCCTGATGTAAACGCATTTGGCCACACAAGGGATATTTAGTGCCACAGGAGTTATCCTGCTGCTGGAGGCACTGAAGTTTCCCTCTGCCTCTCTCCCCTGCCCTCCCAACCTTATCCTACATGATATTGCTAATGGAAGGGGGTCTACCTGGAGGTTCTGTCCACAGTACACCCCAAAGAAATAACCGAGTTTTAATTGCGTTCAAATAGTAGCTTTGATCAATAAAAAGGCAATTCACCAGCTATTGAAAAACTCTGGAACTGAATGAAACTGCAAACAAGATGAGACATCAGTAATGCATGAGGCACATACAATTACAGTGAGACAACTATGGGTCAGTAATGGAGAGACTCAACTAAAAACAAACACAAGAAGCAAGGCCTGTGGAAGCACAGAGTCCCTTACTTGAGGGGAGCTGCCAGGAGAGAAGCCTTGATTGGAGACAGGAGAGGTGGGAGACTGGTTGGCTGGGGATCCAGCATTACTGCGGTACTGCTGGAGTGAAGCCTACAGAACAACACAGAATTAAAGACCATGGGATTGATGGAAGGTTGGAAAAATTATAAACTTCTGGCGTATACAGCTCGAGGAAGCTGGGAGAAACCATCCTCTTCAGCAATTCTTGGCTATGTATGGAGACACGATTACTGTGAACAATGCCGCAAAAAGGAGAGAGTTAAGGTATCAGCGTGGCATGGTCTTGTCTGACTGAATGGCTGAGAGCAGGGCAGTGCTGGTGTACAAGCAAAACTGTTGAAATATTTTCTCACTGTTCTCAGTTACGTTCAATTTATTAAAAAAAAAAAAAGTCTGGTCAGCCAGCGATTTAGGGGAAAGGTATTGAAAGCTGGGAATAACTCAAAAATAATGTAATTTATTCTTCAACTGCCATACCCACACATTCTTAACCTGTGTTTACACTGCTCTGGAAATCCTTCTCCTATTACTCTGCCTACTCTTAAATAGCCTGGGTGCATTATCAAGATTGAAATCCATAACCATGCAGACTGGAACCCTTCTCAAAGCTGCATTTTACCCCAGGACATGGAACAGACATTGTCTGAGAATCCACACAATGTTTTGCAGGTTTACATTAGTTACATTTACATTGTTCTCAGACGTCTTGAGAACACATTTTCAAAGATTTACCTTTTTTTTAGTCATAAAGAACCCTGGACTTGAACAAATTAATAATCTTAATGGCATTTAAATAGAATGTTGAACTAATTAACATAAATAGTAAGTACAGCTCTTCTCATTATATTTCCTTTAGAAATTAACCGATGACTGAGGAAAACCTGCAATCCAGTAGTTCTAAGAAAAGGAGAAACTTAATCACATGGCTTTGCAGTGTGGGAGAAGGTTGTACTACCGATGCTTTCCGACACCGAACTCTGGAAATCTCAAGAAACACCTCTTAACCCTTTTCGCTACGCATTGCTACTTCCACACTTCAAGCAGACACCCAAACTACAGCAAAATTAATTTCAACGTTGCTTTACAAAAACTGCATGGAAGTTGTCAGTGAGGCTGTAACGCAGCTCAAACGGCTTTTCAATAAACTAGCTTTAACTTTATTTATGAATTATTTCCGTTGCTTTAAAAGATAAGCACAGCACCCTCAAAGTTAAGGTGACAAAGAAGTTTAGGATGAGGAAAGCAACACAGAAAGCAAGGAATGAAAATCAGAATCGTCTGTACTGGTAGCTACGTGAGTATTAGAATCAAAACATTCGGACACATTTTGAGTGGGTCAGTATCCTTTCCACTGCGGATTTGTTCTTCCTCTTCCCCTTCCAATCTGGAAAGGGAAGCAGCTTCTTTCAAGAAGCACTTATCAGCACAAACTGTGAAAAATTTCATCCCCAGAGGAAATCCCCGCTCAAGTGCTAGATCAATAGACAACGGCTTCTTCTCATTCTCAACCCTGTTACTGTCTCTACAACACTGCCAGAGGACCCAACGGGTCGGACAACCACAATCCTACACAGCAGGGCAGAACGAGCAGAGAATGAGCTGTGAAATTCCTCCCTAGCTAGCCTGTAACCCAGAACGTGCTCTGCATTTTGGATTTTCATATGCAGAGGGAGACACAACATTTTGTAACAGACCAGGTTAAAGCAAGCCAAAAAAAGAGATCTGTCCATAAATCATTGCTGTATGTATGTATGTATACACTCTGTTTCTGCTGGGCATCTGAGGGCAGCCACAAATCTAATTTTTGAAGATAATCATGTATGCTCTAAAATTCCTTAAAATGAAAGGGTTCTAAATATAGAGAGTACAAGAAAAATACCTGATTCTCTCCAACTTTTGCAAAACGCTTGTTAACAGAACTTTGATAAAGAAACCTGCTAACACCTCCAGTCTCTAGCACACTGTGTAACACACGTGTGTTGGGGGTGCATTACATTTAGCAGCCTGAAAATATATCAATGCAATGGCAGCAGCCAGGTATGAAAGAAATGCTGATGTGGTTAAGCAGGTCTAATCAAACATGACATCGTAAGGGACACCGTTTTATGAAACTACGGCCACCCTAAGCGTACACTAAAACCAAATTTTCCTCTGTAAAACATTTACATGTGGGTTCAACCAAACCCAAGTCTACTTCAGACTCAGCCTAAAAGCATATTTACTTCAAGGGCTGTCCAGCTCGAACTCTAACACCACGCTGTACGCTACCAGGTTTTCCAAATGAAAGCTCTATCATTTGAGCTGTGCCCAAGCTTACCGAGTTGATGTCTATTCCCATTGATGGCTGGGTCTGGTTACCCGGCGGTGACTGTGGGATGGTAGAAGGTACTGTGACGGAGAGCGGGGGGAGTTGTGTTCCTCGCTGTAAACCAGAGGTCTGCATTAAAGGAGTATTCTGAGGCAGGGTACTTGCCACCTGGGTCTGCTGCTGTTGCTGGGAAGTTGTCTGGGTAAAAAATGGGTATGGGGGAAGCTGCTGCTCCAGAGACAACGCATCCATAGCCACGGCCTTAAAAAGAAGAATCAAAATCACCACGCTGGCAGGTAATTCCCCTTTGTTTTCAAGCACATCAAGTTTCACACCAAGAGAACTGCACTGTCTGTTTGATCTTGCATTTTAAAAATGTTACCTAAAGGTTCAGAAACAGCCAAGAACATGTCTCAAAAGGCTTAATATCACCTCCAGGGTACGATAAACAAATACACTAAAAGCCCAGTTGAACACCAAGGTCAGAAATGGATACCCGAGTCACAGAGGCACACTGATGAAATTGATTTTAAAAGCTAATTGAGCTTCTCTCGTGAATTAGAGAAATGTCTTTCAAATTTCACAACTAACTTTGGGACAATATCGTTACAGAAAAGTGTCCTAATAAATGTTTTTTACCACAGTTTTAGAAAAGCAAAAGTAAAAGTCTGTCCCCTCTACAAACCACTCCTCTTTTAAGGCTCTGAATTAATGAACACCTTTAAAGAAGAAAATTACAGAGCAAGAGAGATGAAGTTTCAGCCAGCTTCTCCCTAGGTAAAACAATTAATCTGTGATTGAGAAATTTTAATTCTCCAAGTAAGTTTCTACCTGAGTAATTGGTGACAGAGGGGAAAGCGTAGGAGACATTTGCTGTGACTGTGGTCGCCTTGAGTCTGCGCTCAATGAGAGAGGGCTGACGGCTGGCTGACGGTGCTGCTGGGAAGGGGCTGGCGTCGTCGTCATTCCTGCAGGAAGGAACAAACCAGCTTAAACAGGAGCAGAGCAATGGTTTATTGATACTTGTATAGAGGTAATTACCTAAATGATGAAAAATGAACGGCGTAAGTGGACAATCACTTAACACAAAGTGCTGAATGCACCTTGGCCAATCAGGCTCAAACTTGTTAGCCAATTTGCAATTAATTTTGTCAGGCTGAAGAGCATCAGCATGAGAGGAAGGTCCCTGTGGTTTATCCCAGACCAAAACCAGTCACAGTTTTTCAGGTTCGCACAGAGATACTGACTTGAAATTGGAATAGGCAGAGCAGCTTCAGGGCTTTACAGATACCGCTGGTATTGCTCTCGCACACCTCCCGGGCTGCACGCGTCGAACCCCGGAGAAGCACATTCTGCTCTGTTTGCAAGGGCTCAAACTTCAGGAAGAAGATAACAGATCGCATAACAAGACTAATCAGAGGGCACTTGCGATATTGTAAAAGCAAACACCCATTTAATGGAAAATGCAGAAGAAAGACTGGTTACACAGGAAGCACTCAATTTTTAATGGCATACCAGTGCACAGGAAGGCAGGAAATATCCTTCACGCTCTAGAGAGCCACGACCTAGCAGGGGGTAGGGATAAACAACTCAAGTATTGTAATTTTGTTCAAATTCAAGACAAAAATCTGGAAGTTTTGAAACCTTTATTTTCTGCCTCACCCTAGAGGAACTGAGACACCCCGAAAGTGATTTCAGGACACTCTAGCTAGCGAGCTGTTCTTCTAGAGCTGCCAGAAAGGAGGAATTCACAAAGCCTGCGAGCTCCTAGGCACTTGGCAAATGTTCAAGGCTTCCAGGCAGGCTGCCAGGGAGCCAGGAAGTCCAGGCTGCCAAGGAGCCAGCAGGCAAACTGGCTCAAACCGCGCAGATTCTGAAAACTGCCTGGCTTCCCCTGCGATGTTTTCAAAATCAACACCGTCTCACGGAACATGTCAGCGAACCGACAAACTCAAATGCACAAATGCGTAGTCTTAAATTGCTGGCAGTTCTTTGTAACCTGACAGGTGTTTGTTTCCCCACCTTTTCTTGGGGCTGCTGAGGGCGTGCCTGTGCAACGCACAGAGCTCCTGCAAAAGGTTCAAAAGCCTTTACATTTTGTGCTGAAGAGCTAGAAAACAAACAGAGGCAGGGGAGGTTTGGAAAAAATCAGTTAAAAAAGCACCAAACATTGACTATGCCAATGATTAAATTATGGGATAGTCTCCAAAGAGAAGCAGAAAAATCATCAATGAGTATATCTTTTCAGTTTATGGCTTTGATAGATCAGGAAATGTTTTCAAAGCAACTATATACTTACCGGTTTGGGTTTTTAACGTTTACTTTGCTAATTATGGGTACGTCAAAAAATCCAGCAAGCCAATCTGGCCCAACTCCGTGCAAGTAGTTTGTTTCTTTCTATACATACAACAGTGCTCTTGGCGCAGACGTGCTAAGTTCTGCTTGAGAGACAGCCCATCTCTGTCCCTTCTGAGACCAGAAAACTTGGTAAAGGGTGCTGAACGCCCCTGACCTACTCGGTGCTCAAATGGTTAAACTGTCTTCTTGCTTCATTCTTAAATACAACTGCTCAGTCATAACACTACATGAACCTGATTAGAATGATTTCCTTTTCCCAATATACGAGAGGATTTTTAAGAGGGTAAGGGAATCCTGCCTAAGACAGGAAATCTACTTGTAGTTTTGGATACAGCACCTTATTTCTATTCTAGGAATCACTGACTGCAACGGTCACTGACAATAAAAAAAAGCGACCTTCTTCACAACTATTCTCGAGTACAACCCTGTGAGATTATTTAAAAAACAACCACCACTAGTTTAGACTATTTGCCTATAACGTTAACAAGTCCTGAAATTATCAGGTGATCAGTACGAATATTATAAATTGCCAGCATGGCACATAATGTTTGTTTGTAGTTTGTTTGGTTGTTTTTTTTAAATTATCAGTATTGTCAAAGTCCAAAAACCCCAACAAACACAAGTCAGACTCACCGTGCTGAACAGCTCAAACAGCAACAGCGCTGGAGGAGGCTTTGCAACAAAAACTACACCGCTAGGAAGGCAGCGATTTCAACACAAAGGCACCATAATGAGAGCTGCGAGATATTAAGGTGCACACTGGTATTATTGCCCAAAGCCCCGCTATGTTATGTAGCCTGAATATTCAGGATATTTTCAAAACTTAAGGAGTCAAGCTTACAAAAACCAGCATGCCTCGTAAAGGTTCCACATTATTCTCGATTGCTCAAAAGACAAAATTTGCTTCAGATAAAGCAAGCAATGTTCTCTCTCCAAAAGCATCCTCACACTGAAAAAAACCAAAACGTTCTAAAGGAATGAAAACAAAAGGCCTGCTTAAGATCTTTCCATAACACAAGTGCTGTTGGGGTTAAGCACAGTGAATTACAAGGGAGGCATGTGCTCAATGCTAGGCACTCCTGTAATTTATACATAAAATAAACAAATAAAAAAAAAACCAAATAGCAGATTTGGGCACCAGGAACATAACAAAAATGAAAGACAATTTGTAAGTCATATAACTAACTGCAGCTTTCTCACTTTTTCGTACAGAAACGGCTTGATAAAACTTGTTTACAAAGAAACGTCAATCACCGGTGAAGTGCAATTACCTCACAGACAAAACAGTAATATTCAGCAATGCAACTTCCATAATTTCAGACAAGTGACATATTATGGACAACCTGTAAAAACACCTCCGAGTTAAGATCTTACCCTGATTGGCAGTGCTGATGCCCAAGTGAGTCAGATTGGCAGCAAGATTTCCGGTACTATTGGAGCTACTCAGGGCTGGGAATGTGGATTCCTCAGGATCTAACGGTGTTGGGAGAGGGGAAGGGAAATGGATGTTTGTCAGGTCTGGCAGGGAGCCACCTGTGTTATGCGTAGCAGGAATCAGTGTTGTAGTGTTTTCCTGGTCAGCTGATGGAAAGATGCTATTTAGAGGGAGAGAAAGAAAATAAAAAAAAAAAAAAAAAAAAAAAAAAAAAAAAAAAAAAGGACACATCTCAATTTAAATTTCAGCCTGGACAGATATTTATAAAATCTTTTTTAAAAAGGAAGGTGCCTTATACAGAATTGTATATTGTATTTCTGATAAACCAGAGATGTAATAGGCTCTGTTTTATATCTACTGCAGTGTTAAACCACCTAAGGGCTTTTCAGAAAACTCAAAACCAAGAGGACATTCAATATACAACATTCTTTCTTAAAAGATTTCAATGCTGTTTAAAGAAAAAAATTGCTCAAAACTTACTTGATTCCTGGAACTTCACATGATTTAGGTCTCGATGACCCAGTCTAAAATAGAAGGAAGACATTTTTAAAGGCAAAGATATTGCTAGAGATTCATGCTTAGGATTTATTTCAGTTAGTAAGTTGTATTTAATTTAATACATTTCTACAGAAGAGCTGCTCTTCTACACAAGAGCTCTGCGAAGCTCTCAGAAGATATTTGTCACATTTTCTGCTTTATGGCCCAACAAGGCTCAAATTTCAAGAGTTTCTCCTGATATAATCAAACATGTGCATCCACGCATACATACAAAGTGCCTTTCTGAGCTAATGTTTCATGCATTTAACCTCTAATCTCTGCAAGTTTGTTTTTGTTGACTGCATTTAGAGCATTAATTTACCTAAATATGTTTAGAAAATAAAATCTCTACACTTAGAAATGTGAGATTCCTACCTTTTTAGTGTCCCATCCTTGCTTAGAGAGGGTTTTGTCTGCCTCAGAGGTGGTTTCCTCCATTCCAGGGACAGTCAGTAATAAAACTAAAAAATGAGAACAACAGGAATCATCGCAGAATGTTAAGTTTCTCAGTCAGAAATTTTCAGATTAGGAGTTTAACCATCTGAAAGCTCTTCAGTAACCTATTATCAATGAATATGGAACAGTGGCACACTGTTAGGAGATCAGAATTTTAAAAAATGAACACCAGAAGAGACTAAAATCTTATTTAATTAGTAAGGAGACATTATCAGCTTCAAAAAAACCCCCAAATAACACTTAAAAAAATGTTGGCCTCCAATTTAGTCTGTTTAGCTCTAAATGGAAGAGTGTATCTTGGGACCTAGTTCTTCCCATCTTTTGCATTCTGCACAAGCGATGTAGACCTGCCACATCTAACGGGTGCCCAATAGGACATTTCCAGCGGGGAAAAAATCCGGACCATCTCCCCCAGATAGAGAAACTCTATGAAGCTGTTACTTCTCCATATTCCAAGCACATTTGTTTGTTCAAAGCAATCAGCTGTTTCATCATGCGAATAGCAAGGTGACAAAGAAACATCAAAAGAAAGCCAGGCCAGAGGGATGTATCAACAGCAACCTTTCGTTCTGATGACTATAAATCCATATTTATGCAACCCTGTTTTAAGATGATCATTATTGAATGTTTTACAGCTCTGGATGTATATGGAAGAGCTGCAGCACAGTGCCTATGCATCGAGTGTTGTGTGTTCACCTGTCTCTGAATGGTTATTTAAGGATTAAATTTCTCTACACAGATTTAAGAGCTTTTAATGTATTTCTTGATCTGACAGCTGGAACAAGGGCCAGCAGAGGGCACCAGAATTGTTAGTGCTGGAGGACTGCGCTGCTCCAGCTTGTAAGGAGAAATATTATCAGAGAGCACTCTTGGTAAGCATTGCCTCCAAGGGTCGATTCACTGGTGATCTCAATCCCATAAATAAAAACCAGATGATATCTTGCTACTTTACGGTATCATATCACTGACCATGAAATGCCTGTGATCTCCACATTGGCCTAGAAGTTACTACAAACTGTAAACCTCTAGTACTGCTGAGAGCAGTCTAACCACCACAGTCCCACAAGCCCAGATTACTTTTCCCCATAGGGCAAGGTCTTAGAATAACAGGATACGGCGTTCAAGAAAACGTTCTATCTTAGCTTTGTATAATCTTTTCTGAATTTCAGTACCCAGAAGAGTAAACGTGGTCCTTTGTTCCAATTCCTGCATAACTGAATCTAGAAAGCATTATGCATACACATATTTATAGAAATAGATTAACACCAATGCATGTGCATATAAATCAGAAGTACGATGGTTTCTGTGTTACAAATACTTTTACTGTTTTTCCTCTGCTTACCTCTTTTCTGCTGCATGTCCTGTGACCCTCCTGAAAAAGATTCTTGTTGAGCTGGAGTCATAGTACTCTGGTGCAAGGCAGAATCGGAATTCGTCCTGAAAGGAAGGTAAAGCCAACACTTTTATTGCCAGTTTCTCTAAATAAAAGAATGCTTAATCTCAGATAAATGTAACCAACTCAGTAAAACCGGAATACTCTGCATTAAAAAACCAAAATCTATAAATGGCATATACCAGGCACAATTTCCTTGTGTGTCCCGGTTCTGGCCGAGATAGAGTTCATTTTCTTCCTAGTAGCTGGCTGTGGTTTGGATTCAGGATGAGAAGAGTGTTGATAACTCACTGATGGTTTAGCTATTGCTAAGTAGTGCTTAGTCTAATCAAGGACTTTTTCAGCTTCTCCTGCTCTGCTAAGGGCACAAGAAGCTGGAAGGGGGCACGGCCAGGACAGCCGACCCCAACCGCCCAGAGGGGTATCCCACACCATATGACATCATGCCCAAGTATAGAAACTGGGGGAAGAAGAAGGAAGGGGGGACGTTGGGAGTGATGGCGTTTGTCTTCCCAAGTCACCGTTACGCGCGATGGAGCCCTGCTGTCCTGGAGTTGGCTGAACACCCGCCTGCTGATGGGAAGCAGGGAAGGAATTCCTTGCTTCGCTTTGCTTGCATGCATGCCTTTTGCTTTACCTATTAAATTGTCTTTATCTCAACCCATGAGTTTTCTCACTTTTACTCTTCCAATTCTCTCCCCTGTCCCATCGGGGGGGAGTGGGCGAGCGGCTGCATGGGGCTTAGCTGCTGGCCGGGGTTAAACCACAACATTGTGAAACAATCAACTCACAGAACAAATTACTTCAAGTTTGAAGAGCAATTGTTTCAATAATGGGATTGAGAAGAATATAGGGTAAATTGGTTGCTGTCACTAGAAAATAATTTGATATGCTTTGTTAAGATTATGCATGATCAAATAATGCAGTTTTTGAGCTGAAAGCTGCTTATACATACTTTGGTTATACTAGTCTTTGAAAAGAAAGCATCCCTGTTTCATAGGGAGGGAAAACGACTGGTTCAGGATGCATCTGTGTTGTGGAGACGGGAACCTCCACGGTCAACCCATCTCTCATGATGAACTGGCCTAGGTTGGGAATGTAGTCCACCACTTAGGGAACTTGGCACCTCCAATGCACGAGGGGTAGGAACTGGCAACTCGGTGCTCTTTTCCACTCGAACGCTTGCGAGGGCAGGCTAGCCCAGCTTCTGCACAGTGAGAAACATCCAAGTCTTTTACAACTCAACAATTTTGGGGATTGCCTTGGAACACCTGGCAAGATTTACCCTTAAAAAGATCACATTAGCTGACACACTTGTCATTTAAAAGCAGGTCATCTAAAAGAATAAGCAATTTCTAAATTCAGGAAGTCATGACAATTCAGATGACCAGCTGTTGTGGGGAACAATAAAGGCTTCTGTTGCACATGGAAAGTGCTGTAGTATCAGAGAACGCAGTGCAAATACTAACACACACACACACAGAGTTGTGCCACTAACCTTCTCCAGCTTGTGTCTGATGGGGGTGACAGATAGACCGTGCCATACGGGCAGCTGTCCACGTGATTCCATCAGTTAAGGGGAAGAACGCCACTTTCTCACTGAAGTAGGAGGCCTACTTGAAACCTTCTCCTAAGGAACAACTCGAATTACCCTGTCAGAACCACTAGGCTCACACGAGAAAGGCAAGCAGACTCCCTGCGGGGAACATACTGACTTTAAAAGGACACTCAAACCAAAATATTATCTGGATTGTTGTAATGTTTGAGCAACAGGACAACCATCCTCCTTTTCCCTTTCTGAGCATCTAACTCTTCCCTGAGAAGCTGTCATCTCTCCACTCTCCCACTCACACATCCCCTTTAGCCCCATCAAGCCAGTCTGATTGCAGCACATTTTAAGCCAGTCAGAAATAATAAGCTAATTCATTTTCATAAATGGCAAGAAGAAATAGCGCTTGGCAAATGCTACACTGATGAATCAACTTGTAATAAAATGCACAATGAACTGCAAAGTATTATTCTGGTTTGGATTTACTCAGTTCTGAAGGGAAACTCTGTTTCACCAAGACTGCCTTGCCTTTTCCATCATAGGATCTCAATCCCTCTCAGCTTCGTGTGTATCATTATCCCCACTTATTGCTGAGGAAACAGAGGAAGGTAAATGCTTACTTTACAGAATAGGAGGTATTTATAGAATAGATCACAGTTCAGAAAAAGCAGATGACATTAACTGCACAGAGATGGGAAGCAACTCCGCTGACAGGCAAGGAGGGGAGGAAGAAGGGAACTGTAAAAACTGAAAAACGTTATACTGTTGAAAAGGTAAGTGTTCACTGCCAGCTCATGAACCAAAGGATATCTGTCTTCCATGTTTATCCACAGAGAGAGGGCGTCGATGCGGGGAGCCGAGACGGTTTCTGTCACGATACACTCTGTCCACCAGACCATGATGCCGAGTTGTCCTGCTTGTGTCCAATCCTGATGACTGAAAAGGAGTCTGAGAGAGACACGTGAAGTTATAAGCAGAAAAATACATGCACGAGCACCCAGAACCTATTCATACTGTATGCAAGACTGTATTATTCTAAGGAATAAAACTCAAGAGAGATATGGACAAGTGTAACCACGTAAATTTTTCCTCCAACAACATTTTCACTACAGCCATGGAAAGCAATTACCAAGGCTATCTCTTCCAGACAGAGATTAGAGACAAGTGGAGGCAGGCCATGCTAGATCTGCCCTCTCGTAAATCAGCTCTGCTCTCCAACCGTTGTATCCCTGAACTACCACAGGTGAGTGTGGCAGGAAGCCTACCGGCAACTGCTGTTCACATTCCCTCGGTGCCGCATGCAGCATGCATCCAGAAGGAACATGCTGACAACCAGAACTACAAGGGCAGGAGATGCAGGAAGAAGATGCGCAGTGAGCCTGACATTCATCGGAACACTCCACGTTCTCTCCAAAATTCCTTTTACCCCTCCCTTCAGCATATTTTAAGGGGACACTGATAGAATTAAAAGAAAAAGAAAAGCAGTTTCCTTCCTCCTCTGTCTAGAAAAAGCTACAGCATCCAATATTTTTTAAGTGATTTTCATTTCATTCAGGTTGCACAGTGAACCTAGGTGGGTTGATTCCACTTTGAGTCTTATTGGCACTGGTATCTTGAGAGAGTTTACCCATCAGCAACCGATTTCAGAGAGTGAGGATGGCAGAGAAAAGACAGGGAAGGTAAATTCCCAGGCGAAACTGGAAAACTTCTACATTTTCACAAGTCCTTCCCAGTGTATACCTGTGGGGGGCAGGGGGAAAGGAAGTACCGAATGGTCAACCTCTACTTGTACTTCAACAGCAATATATGGGTCTCTGGGGAAAAAAAGCTACACAGTCTTCCACTCCTTGCCAATGTGAACAGCTTTGCTGAGTCCCTCAACACCATCTGTTTGGAAATCCAAAATTTCCTCCTCCATTCAGGTGCTGAACGTGGCAAATGCACTGTCCTGTCTGCCAAGCCATGAAACCATCTGGCTTCCACATTCTTTTTTTTTTTTTTTTTTTTTAAAAAGTGTCCAGCTTTGGCTGTTTAAATAATTATTTCTAAAAAGTTTTACATTTATTTTTAAATGTTTTGTTTGTAGTAACTTTTAAAAGAGTCTTTCTCCTATTTTAAACTCTTTTCTCTTTAGCAAATATTAGTCTCCTCTCCCTCTACGCACACACAAGCTGCATTAATATAAATGGATGCAAAGTGGCCGTGATGTTTATTTTCTCGTTTCAGGGCCAACACTTTATATGCAGCAGAATATTGCTTAAGTCAACATGGGACTAGCAAGAGAGCACCGTGACTTTTTACTGTACTCTCAGCCATTAAGATCATGGTGTTTTGCTTCACTTCCTGAGCAAGTACGACTTTCTAGTATGAAGACTTAGAAACCTCAAGTCATAGCATCTCAATTTTAAGTAATTTAAACTACAACACGTTGGTTTAATCTCTGCTGCAAACACTGAACAACAATCTAGTTCTACCTAACTGGCACCACACAGAACTGGGAATATTCGTCATTCCAAAACAACAACAGAAGGTCTCGAACTCTTCCTTGTACTGTTACATCAATTCTACCCCAAAAAGCAGCAAAACTGGCGAATACATGCATGCTCGGAAGGACAACAGGAAAAGCAATTTCCTATGCCAGTGGTCCCAACCACAACGTTACTAAAAAAGCAGCTGGTCTGAAGCATACAGCATGCAGACCTCACCTGGAATTTAAAAGGAAACCAATGCAATGAGGATACAGACAAAAAGTTGAGCACAAACAGTTATTTCTTACGCTTTCCCTTTTTTTGGCAAGACTTCCATATAAAAACAAAACAAAACTCTAATTTGAGTGCAACAGTGGCACAAGTAAACATGGACCATGCCCTGTCACAGGGCTACAATTTACAGAGCAAGGAATTTTTGGGCAATGCTGTTCTCTGGCTTTCCAGGAACGAAGATCCCAAGTGAATCCCTAACTTGCTTAGGGAAATCAGAAAATGGGTATCACCTCCAACACGTCTGGCTTCTTTCAGCCACCATCCCACGGAACTTACTCTGGACCAAACACCAGGCAACACACCTTCATTAAAATCCCCATCCCTGCAGGACACCTGACATTTAACTATAGTAAACAACTGTGATTAAAAAAAAAAAACAACAAAAACAAAACACTAAAAAAACCCGATCTGAGCATCGATTTTACTTGGAAAATGAAGAACTAAAACTGTCTCACTTCCCTGAAAAACATTTAGGGATTTGAGATCAGAACCAAAACTCCACAAAACGTCAAAAAAAAAAAAAAAAAAAGCAGCTAAATACAGACAGGAAGGAAAAAGCTCAGTGCTGTAAAGTGACAGTGTCCCTTTAAGATTTATCAAGACATTGACTTAAGAAATAAAAATGAGCATGGTGGATGAGGGGGAAAGCAAGGAGTGGAACCTACTGACAGGTGACATTTCGGTACCCCCTGGTGACAAGCAGCATTTGGGTAATCATTCTGCCTCTCCCGATGGAGTTCAACATGCAGGCTAAGTGCACATGCTCAGAGATTGCTTAAATCACAGGCCAAGACAGTGCCAAATAAACCACCATCTGCATCAAATTAATCCCCCATAAATCATAAGTAATCACATGACAGACCATAGCAAGTCCAGGGAGTCTGTACAGGAATTATTATGCATGTTCCAAACTGGGATGCATGGCAAAACCTGTATTTATGTGACAGACCATAACTCCTTTGGAGCTGGGACGGTGAATCAAATAAATACTGTGCATACCAGAAAAAGTGTAACATGTGCTAAAATACGTATCCACCTGGGCAAACAGTACACCAGTCCTAAATACGTATTTGCACAAACCTAAATACTTGTTTACCAAAGAGACAGGAACTGCTCCAAAGGCTTCTGCCAGAGCTCCGTTGTGCTGTAAATGCAAAGAACCAAGATTCTCAGACACTAACGCTCTCACCAGAGACAACCAGACAGGCTGCGCCTGATCAGCACATCGTACAAGTATCTTTTGGCAATTTCATCGTATTATTGCTTAAAATTGAAAAACCTGGAAAGCATTCATCACTGATATAAATACATGTTTTTATTTTGTTGCTTGCCACCATTTGTGATCTGTAACAGTATCAACTTTGGATTTTTGTGTGTGCATGAAAAAATATATATAAAAACCTGGAGTTTAAGGACAATTTGTTTCAGTATCCTCCTCTCGCCATTCAGGAATTTTTGAATATGCACTTTCAAGCACTCCGTTAGCATCAGGACTAAAAGAGTCTATGTAATAACCATCAGTAATGGCCATCAAGCACAACAATACTGAAATACTATTGCTTAAAAAGAACAGTAACTATGAACCTCTCCAACAAGAAACTAAAGAGAAAAACTTGAAGAGACCAGACGCTGGTGGAGTAATACTAAGGACTTCGTAACAAACCTCTGCACCCTAAATTTATACTACACTTGTATTCCCTAAATGCGACCAGATTAAAATGGACATTTGCTTCTCCTCTTGCACAAGATTCAAGCTTTTAACCTCCACAAATTCAGCTGTCGACATATATTTCAAAAGGCACAGTTAGAGAGCGTCATCAATAGTTTCTCTGTATTTATTAAGCCAGCCTTCATCAGAAAACCACAAACTGCAAAATTTAATTCTTACCACATCCTTGTGAGATAAAATGTACATGTTACTACTCAAAAAAGGAAAACTAATGCAGGAATAGTAATTCTTTTGAGCACCCTAAATCAACTAACTATAGAAATCAGGAGTCCCAAAAGTATCCATCACCTAATCCTATCCACTATACAACATCAGCCAGTACATCTCTACATTTACTTTTCAGCCAGACCAAGGAAAAGTGACCATCCTGATACTGGTTCGTGTCCCGTTCCCCATTCTCCTCTCCTAAAATCCATGCGTTACTCCCATGGAACACACACCCCACCATGGGGTACCTTCTTCCACACCCCCATCTCCCAGCGCCTTCCACATCGCCTTGCATTGTTTGCTTCCACTTTTGCTTTGAGTCTTTGCAGAAGATTTCATTATGAATTTGGTATGGAACAGAAAAAAAAAAAAACCAAACCCAAAACACCACCACCATCAGTGTTCACTGAAAAAGAAACTGCATCACGTCTGGATATTCTCGAGACAAAAGCATCGTGACTGGGGACAGAACTAATATCTAACGGTAGATATATACAGTACAAAACATATACAGCTATGTTCCATTAAAAAAAGAGCAAAAAATTTTAAAAACGGGTGATCTGCTAAGGCCATGGTGCTATGTTCTGAACCAGCAGCTAGTTCATGGTCTCCTCGGAGGAAAAATAGCATGCAGGCACAGCACTGATCACCAAAAAAGAAAGAAACACCCTATTAAACTCACCTGGAAGGGCAGATCCATGGCACTGTTTCCAATCTGATTAACATTTGGCAGTGACCCCCCATAGTACTGGCCACGACTCTGTCCCAGTTGCAAATATTGGGTTTTCTGCAGCTGTAACTAAAAGAAAGGGAGAAGGAAAGCGTAAGGGCAAGTCATTTATTTTTCAACTGTTTTAACTGACTTAACTCCACGTCCGCTATCACTGAGAATGGATACCATCTATAAACAGCACAAATTCAACTTCTCCACAAAGCACAGCTGGCAAACTGCCAGGCCAGGTCTTGAGTGATGGTGTAAAACGATGGAAGAAAAATCAGCTTCATAGTCTGCAACCGTATGCAATTTCCAACAAATAACCACCACCTGAAACCACATGGTTCTCATGTCACCTGCTATTCTGAAAGCCGGGACGTAAAAACCCCGTGTCAGTCAGATCGTGACTCTAATATCAAAATTAACCAGCTGCTCATGTGTGCAATATACAAATAAGAAAGTCATCTTAATTTAGTATATCGACTATACTGTTCAACCAAATATTCAACTTTTTAGCAATCTAGGTACCAGAGATGTTAGTGCAAGCTGTAGCTTTCCACCAGCAGGTAAGCGTTCTTGTTTCTTGCACCAGGAAAAGCTCCATAGGAAGGGCAGACACACAGGTTTTCAAAGAAAACCCAACCAGCGAAAGAAAACCAAACAGTAAAGGATTCCTTACTGAGCAGGTATGCATGAAAATAAACGTGACAGTCTGCAAAGTTTCACTAAACACTAGCTATCATCTTCAGCTCAGAATGACATCTCGCTACTAAAATATTTTCGCATGCTTTCCTGTAGTTGTCTACATTTCTGGTGTACAAAAAAGTGTGCAAGAGAAAGCTGTTTCTTTCCTACTCAAACATCAACTTATTTTCATAGTCACTTATAGAATCATAGGATCGTTTAGGTTGGAAAAGCCTTTAGTCCAACCATTCCTCTACCCCTGCCATCCCACCCCCAAACCCTGTCCCAAAGCACCGCCTCTGCCCGGCTGTTAAATCCCTCCAGAGATGGGGACTCGACCCCTTCCCTGGGCAGCCCATTCCAGAGCTTGACAGCACTTTCAGGGAAGGGATTTTTCCCAATGTCCAACCTCACCCTGCCCTGGCACAACTTCAGACCATTCCCCCTCGCCCCATCACCCGTTACCAGGAGCAGAGGCCGACCCCCACCTCGCTACAGCCTCCTCTCAGGCAGTTGTAGGGAGCGATGAGGGCTCCCCTCAGCCTCCTCTGCTCCAGACTAAACAACCCCAGCTCCCTCAGCCACTCCTCAGAAGACTATACTGTCTCAACAGCTTGTTAATAAGAGCTATGATTTTTGATTAATCTTTTGTTAAGTGACCTTTCCCATTTTTTTAGTTCAGTAGTACCAATATTTAAAACAATTTCTCATTCAGTTCTGCAACGTTCCCACTCAACACATCTAGATTTAATACCATGCTGCCACCAAAGCCCTATTTTACACTGGTAAAGCAGAATTGGCAATCATCTGAACACAACAATCCTGCTTGCAGGGATGCATCTTCCAAGCACTCAAGAAACTACAATTAAAGTAGCAAAGAAATGAGCTTACATAAGTTCCCTCTCCTCCCACTGTGGAGGAGTACATATTTTATAATGTATGTTGTTCCTCACTAGATGTCAACTGGCTGGTTTTGCACTCTGAAATGCAAGAACATTCCTAGATTGGTAGCAAAGAATTGTTTAAAGACTAAGCGTTCAGATCTTGGACTAGCTACAGGTTGGTTGCTAAGGTACGTTAGTGTGTACATCAACAAATCTGGTTTAGTTTCATTCAAATGGATCTGAAAGCCTTTGCCTCGCAATGCCACAATGCTGAAGAGCAAAGTTTGGGAAAGTACTAGAAAACATGGCATTTCCCAAACTGAATGTTTACGTGGTTTTGGGGTTTTTTTCTTTACACTTTCCTCAAGCAAAGGAAATGGCAAGATGGAAACGAGTGGCCCTGCCTCTACAGTTTTACCGCAAAGGCCCTGAGGTTGAGTGAAGATGTTTCTAGCAAAGAAAAGGAAGAGCCAGCACCTTCCGTGTTGACAAGGTGATCTCTGCAGAGATGCTGAGTGGCGTTGACAGTGAAGACACCACGCTGCACACCGACAGCACCACGACAGGACAGAGTGAACAGGGACCAACCTGCTTAGATCATGCTGACACTTAGGGGTATATAGATTACAATAGTGCCTGAAGAGAGGGGGAGAAAACAAGATCACCCCGAGGAAAACAGTGCATGCATTCTTCCATCTTTAAAACTATCCCTAGGAAAGCAACTCGAATACCCTTTATTCACAGAATCTCCCCTAGAAGCCACCAATTTTCAAATACACAGAACAATCAAAATCGACTGCTTTAGCTGAAGAACCAAATTAACCCAAAACACAGAAAAACAGCTCTTAGAGATGAAACCTCTCCATGGAATGGGCACTCTCAAAAGCTTCAACTGTTGGGGCAGGATACCAGCCACAAAGCGGCTGATGTGGTTTTTTTTTTTCTTAACCAGAGGGCAGATAGATCCCCTCAGCCCGAAGGCTTATAAAATATTCACAGTGTGCTGTATCAAATGGTTCAAAAGATCCCATCTAAAAAGCAGGAAAGCCCCCGTCCCGCCCTTCTTTTGCGATCTTTTGACACGCAATTACAACCCAGCACTCTCTAAGCAATATATGAAATTAGAGAAATGCTCCGCGCTGGTGTCACTTAATGAGTCACAGCCCCTCTAGCTCATAGCTGCAGAGCACTAAAAGCACAATATCAGAACTAGCTGTGCTTTTCGCCTGGCCTGTACATATGTTTTTGTTGTTAAAAAAAGGCTTGCTTGGGATTTGTGCCAAACATTGAAGTAACTATTTCAACAGGTGTTGGTTTCTTTTAAAGAACCTACTATAAAACACCCCGGGGGGGGGGGGCAGGGGGGGGCTGCTTTATGGTTTTTTAATGTTTCGGCCTTCCCCGGTACATACCTACCTCAAAGCATAACGTAACGAGGAGGTCACGACCATTTGTCTTTCCACTGCAGTTAAACGTGGAAATGAGGAAACACAAGAGATCGAGAACTGAAGCGGTTCTCAAAAATGAGCCTGGTTAAATGGCTTTGCAGTATCATTCATTCTAGTAATGCTACCTTCGATAAACACTTTTGGAGATCCACGCCAAAAAATGAGAAATCTGATTGCTTGTTATTGCTATCATATATCATTACACCAGCACGTAGATCTGTGTTTGCTCCCCTCTTCAGCCTCCCGCCTTTTAACAGCGAGTGGCCCCCAGACTACGCGGTTTATAGGAGCCCATCAACAACTGCCACTTGCAATCTATGAAGATCAGGTGTAAGCAGAGCAGGCCAGTCTGCCGAGCGCTTCCAATCTCCAGCTTTTTAGCTGGTAAGAAAGCTTTTTTAAATACTGCGACATTAGACCTTACTGTAATTCCAATAGGAGATCTCAAGCAACATCAGCTCAGGTCTTTCAAAGCAGCGGATCAGAAAAAAAACAAAACAAAAAAACCCAAAAAAACCCCAACAAACCACCTGCAAATGTCACAGTCATGCTTGGAGATAACTCAGGAGTCTCGAGTCTTACTAAGGGGACCTGTGCACAAAGAAAAGCAGCACTGAAAATGAAAACAAGCATCTGTTGTGATGAAAACTAACATTTCCTCCTTCTGCAGAACTACCTTATGAGGTGAATTCAGTATAGTGCACAATTTGGGGCTTGGGGATTAGGCTTGAAGAGGGGGGCTGGGGGGGGGGGATTATTTTAAAAGAAAAAAAAAAAAAAGAAAAGCCTTTCCTTAGTAGAAAAATTCACATTACTCTTAAAATGTTAACAAGTCTCATGACAACTCTAGCTTTATCTCCTGGGGTTAGATTCAATTAGTGGCAACTTGCTTTCTATATGAATTTAGATAGTGAAGTACGATAATGAATTACTTAGTGTTCACCAGATATATTAATTTCTCGAACCATGAGAACTTAGTACTGTACATTACAGCTTTTCCATTTATGTGTTATGTGGCCATGATTTTCAACTGTCAAGGAGCTATTATATTACAAAATATTCCAGTTCTTTCCTGAGAAAGCTTCTGGTAAGGAAAAAGCTTTTGCTTGTTTAACACTTTTATTTCTGCTTGCCCCTCTTGTTCACAAGTGCTTCCCAAACGACAGATCCTAACTGAATCTGTGTTTTTCCTTCCACCAGCATTTGTCTTATGCTACTTAAAGAAAAAAATGCAGATTTGAAGTTAAAACCCAATTTAATCATTAAAAATGAAATACTTCTGCATAAGCAGTTTTCTAGAAGAGCTGAAAAAGTTCCCCAAATAAAAGGTGGACGCACTGTGGGTTCACCGGGTTTGAAGTGATGTTAAACGCAGTAAACTTCTGCAAAGGTGCAGGAGTAACAATGTGCGAGGCAGTAGCAGCAAAGAGGAAAGGAATCGTTACCTTTCCACAAGGAATCATTACCTTTCCATGAGGAATCGTTACCTTTCCGTGTAGTAATTAGGGATTTGCAAGCAACTGCATTCTTAACTCAGCTAACAGTTGAGTAGCATGACACGATCTTACTCTGGGTAACGGAACTGGACACACACAACTCTGGTGAGAAATCAAAAATATGAGATTTAACACAATTACTGACTTGCTAACAATGGAACATTCTTCCAGATACCAGTTTTTATGTGAAGCCGTTTAGATGAACTACCTCAGTTTTTCCGTTTAGCTCGGGTTAGTCTGCCGGATATACAGCTGGGTTTGTAGGGAGGGATTCAAGTTATACAATAAAAAAAAAAAAAGGGGTGGGGGGGGGGGGGGGGAAGAGAGAAAAATATCCCTCAAAGCATATCCAGTTTTCCTACAGACTTTCTAAGTGTCCAAAATATGCAGATGGGAATCAAAGGAAGCATTTATTAAAAATTCAACGCTTCCAACTTCTCTAAATTCTTCCCCCAAAATTTCTGGGCATATAACAGAACATATGTGTCCAATAATGGACAGAACTCAACTGTAATCAAACAGCCAATCTGACACTGGAATTAAATCAATCAAAATCCATGCTAACCATTTATTTTAAAATGCCCTTTTTTAATACATAAAAATTTGATTCCCATAAGCATAATAAAAGGGTGGAGTGTCCTTTCGATAAAAAAACCCCTAAGATATCTGATGAATACAGGAAGTAAGATTTCACGATAACTGCTCTTTTGCTGGTTCACAGTTTCCATACCAAGCTTTCTCATAAATTTTAGCTTTTCACTTTAGAAAGCTTTCTCTTCAGCATGTTGAGGCTAATAAGCAGCAAAACGAGTGCAGATTAAAATTAGAAA